CGCAACTGTCGATGGAGAAGTCGCAACCAACGAGTGGGGAGTTGTGACCGGCACCCGGCGTATATGCGACTGGCAGCAATGGTGGAGGAAGTTCCAAATGCCAACGTCTGGTGCTAGGACTGGTGACTCTTGGTGTTGGAATCGGCAACGGCCTGCGGCGTGAAAGCTGGTGCTCACATCAGTGCTGGAGCCGATGTACCACCTACATCACGTGTTGGAGACGACGACCACAAGATTTGAGGCGACAACGGCAAGTGCTGCAACCAGCACGCACCCGTGCTAGAGACGAAGGATACAATTGTTGGGAGACCTGTGGCGGCCGGCGTTGTTCAGGATGTTGGAGCTACGGTGACAAAGTGCTGGAGATACCCGCGAGATTTTTTTTGCTGGAACCAGCTTCAAATTTTGTTACCACTTTCTTCAGTTTATATTGGAACAAACCAAATTTTTTGCTACCATGCTTCTTTACTTGCTAAACTAATGTACCAACTTGCTACCACCGTATTTGATTTTTGCTGGAACTGACCAAAATTTTGCTGCCATGTCTTCTTTTGTTAGAACCATTGTATCACTTTTGCTACAGCCATTTTGATTTTGCTACTAATGCATTGTCGATTGTTACATACATTTTTTTCATGAGGTTACGAAGCCTGCGACTATGTATTTTTTACTGCAACTGTTGTCGATTTTTGCTACTACCGGTGTCGGCATTTGTTGCTTACATACCCATGCAAATAAGAGCTGCAACCAAAAACGACGGCGAGCTCCAGCGGTGGTGTGTGGGTGGTTTTTCAACCAAGGTCGCTGGGGCATTGCGACATTTGCTCGAGAAGGAGATCGAGGTTTTTTTTTGTGCAACCCCAAACACGGCGATGACTACCTTTTGCTGCTAGCAACTACAGCTCCGCCCGGCTAATTACAGAGGAGAAGGGTGCTCTGGCGCGGGGAGCGTCGGTATTCCCCTTTTTTATCTTGTGAGCGATGAAGGGAAGAAGATGATACAAGGGGGAAGTCATATCTAACGGATGTATACAAGGGAATCGGGTGGATACATGGTGACCAGCCCAAATTTTTGCCAGTCGACCGGCGCCTAGCACTGTCCTATAATTTAATATCTTGTACTATGATGTGTCTAGTGCCGTATTAGCAAAAGTTATCAAACTATCAATTCTAACATTTTAATGGTGGGCTTGATTACACTTAAAATACCGTCACCAGAACCAGAACCATACGACTTTCAGGACACCATGTGTTGCACATATTATGGTAGGAACCTTACCAATCTATTTGTGATTCAGTCTGGTGGCCTGCATTGAAACATATATCCTTATTTATTTTTTCTAGCACAAGTACGTAGTCTAAGTTACTTTCTATGTGATCAAGTTGACCCGGTAATTAATTCGGACCTAGTAAGTGACACATGTCAGGTACGAGCACATTGCAACTTCGAATGTTTTTTACGGCAAGTTTAGTTATGCGAGGATGGCAAGTTTAGTTGGTAAGCATGACAACTTTCGTGCTTCAGTTTATGCTTGATAGAAATTTCCGTGTGTCACTTAAATTTGCTATCCTTGTGTGACTGCATCTGCCATCGAAAAATGTCAAGGCTGGATTGCCATGCACCTGACATGTAGCACTTGTCATTTGGGATTAATTAGATAAGATTTGATTAGTTTGAATAAGAGCGAAAGAGAGCCCTATTGTTATTTGTCTAGTACAACCTCCGTCCCAAAAACGCTATCTTAGACTTGTCTAGATAGAGAAAGGGACGAATTTAAGGAAGGGCGAAGGGGGGGGGGGGGCTATACCCCCCTCAACAATCTAAATTTCACGCCATGAGAGCTTCGCCCCCTTCGTGAGTACGCTCACCCCCTCTATGCATAAAATCTAGTTCCGTCCCTGGATTCAAATGTATCTAGACACATTTTAGTCACA